AAACTTTTCTATACACTCATTAATTTAAATTCGTGTATAAAATGGCGTTTATCAAACTTGATACATAATATACTATTATGAACCTGTTAAAATTCGTAACTCTAAAACAATTTAAACCATTACTAATTTTTCCGAAACTATGCAAGACATAATTTTAACGGAATCAAACCTCACATAATAGCGTAAGAATATGGTTTGCGAACGGTTGGTTAGGTCGCGACATAAAACACAAAATATAAACATAAATCATTCCAAGTAAACGTAAAAATGAAATGTATATTTTACTAGTAAACACGTGCATCTGTCTTCCTTTAAAGCGAGACAAAGCTATACGCTGCTGTATCCCCTTTTTAACGGCGAGTTCGTACGACAGCGTTGCCAATTTTCACTAAAAAATGCAAATTTATTCAAAGGAAATATCAAAATTACAAATTTATGTTTTTAAGTTTAAATTACCATGTTTCACTAAAAGAAAAAAATACCCAAATAGGCGATAATATACAAATTTTAAATAAGAAAACCTGATAAGATATCATTGTGAAAAATACATAATTTTAAGTAACCAAATAATACATATGGGTGATTCTACAAAAGTTGGACAACTTGATGTCATCAGTCAATAGACTAGGTATTTTAATATTTTTTGAAAATATTTCAGTATATTACAAAAGATCCAGGTTTTTTTAACTTGTCCACCCAATTTTAATATATTTTTTCAAAAGCACGTTTGTAGAAAAACATAATAAATATTCAAAACATCAGTACCTTGGTGATTTTATTTTAAAATATATTCAATTTATCTTAAATTTTTCAATTTCACTATAAACTATAAAACATTAAATAATGTATTTTTCATATTTTATCATAGATTCAAATATTAGCAATTTTTAAAAAATTGATAATCTTTGTACTCATTTTACCCGTCAGTTCTGTGTCCAATGTTAAAATTCAAAATTCCTGCGAAATATTGAAGTTTAAACGTCGTCCTCGTTTTAACTCAAGTGTTGGTAAAAAATTACCTACAGAGCCCGCCCTTTGCACGACAGTCATCTTGAAAACAAAGCAAGCGGCGAAGTTGTGGTGAATGCACGTATAGTTACAGTCAAAATTTCAGTACTGTGGTGAGTAGTTATTTTCTTACGTATATATATTTCAATGTAATTTATATAAGGCTATATGTGATTTGTTGATAAGTAGCATCCACTAATAAAGAATATCAATAAAATACTTAATTCCGAATTATAATCTCAAATTTGTATCCCATTCATCAGTACCGTGTCGTCAGTTCCACGTTCGATGTTTCGGTTATATTTTTTTCGCAAACTTCAATTTAAATTCTGCTTGCGCAGAACTTGTTTGTTTAATGTAATTATAACTCATATAAATTTGGTGTGGGTCCAATATCTAATAATTGAGATATCGGTATACCCAAAATCCACCAGCCGCCACTGATGTGTGGTATTATTTGATTTTAAGATATTTAATGTATAATATGCTCAAAGTTGCAATAAATCATATATTTTTCAATAAATTATGTATTTAATTAGTAGCCTGGTTTACTCGTCACTTTCCTTGCATTCAAATTTAGAAAACACAGATATTTCGGAAACTGTTTGAAAAAGTGACTAGGACAGTATATTTATTATATTATCTATGTTCTCATAACAAAATACTGTTTAATTTTCTCCGAAAACTATATAAACAAAATGAGGTCAAAAGTTGCCCAACTTTTGTAGAATCACTCATATCATATTATAGGGAAATTTGGACAAAAAATATTGGAGAAAAAAGTCGTTATTTTTTGGGATTTAAAAATTAAATTAATTTTATAAAACAATTTTTATTAGAGTGTACCCCCATAGCCTGTATCCAGTCAAAGTTGGAATATTTTTCTGTCAAACCATTGCTTAAACTGTCAGTTGTAAAAAAATCCATTACTTTAAATTAAAATAAATGTCGTGGAATAGAGTTACGAATTCGAGGTATTGGCAACACTGCGGTACGCTGACATCGGCCAACTCCGCCCATTTAAAATTAAGGTTCTCTTATAAAAGCTATAAAAGCGCTTACGAATTAAAACAATTTTGTATTTTTATTATTTTTGGCGGAAAATTGGCCTGACACAAATATCGATTGGATTCATGTGAAAGCTAATTTAAAATAATTATTGAATCTTTTGAATTTGTAAAAATTTGAAATGTATCTAGGTAATTTAATTAAATTCCAACTGACTCGCAAGAGAAATCAACGTAGGTACCTAGGTAATTAAAATAAATAAACATAATATTAATATTGAAATAACAATTACGCAATACTGGGTATATTAATAGTAAATAACTAGGTACCTAGTTACCTTTAATATAAAAACTTATCTTAATGTCGAATAACGCTGATAAAATAAATACATATCCTTATTTCCGAAAATTATCATATTATATGCGATTGGGTTTTTCGAAGTAAGTTTTGATATGAATCACCTATTTTGTTCAAATCGCGATACAAACTGCAAAAATAAAATTATTATTATTATTATAATTATATTAAAATAACCTGGTAAACATCAAATCTCTATTGAATTTAAACAAGCCAATGGTAAACAAATAACTGCGTTTGTTTTTGTTGCTTCGAGAAAAATAAAATAACGAAAAAACAGTGACATGCACTAAAAAAGTAATTAGTTACAATAAATTTCGGATATAGAAATAATAACGTCATATATAAGTAGAAAGAGAAACAAGAAGAGTGGGATAATCTTTGTAAACCGGCTCAAGTGTAGCTCTACGGAAATATTATTCCTAATTCATATGAAGCGGCACACCCCTATTTATTTAATGGTAAGTACGTTAAAAAAGATAACACATTTAAATTAAAGACTCCATAATAGTATACGGTAGGTACGGGTGTCCGACTTTGACATTTGAATAAGAAATGCAGTCAAATAATTGAGGTTATGTATTCATTAGATAACACTAATTTCATCTTATTTTTTAAAAATAATACAATATAAAAATACAATGTAATTTTGTTTATAAATGCCTTCGTTTGTTAACACAAAATATTAATGTTATTGTACCATACAAAATATACAATTTTTATTATTTAAACACTAATAAATGTCTTAACAGTTTTATGCATAATTTATTATTTATTATAATTAATTATAAACGAGATTATTTTGATTGAAATACCTCCTATATTTGTTTATTTAGGAACTGGTTTTAGTCAATTTTAGCAAGGATTTTTACTATATGTCCCCCGATTTATTTAATAAAACTAAATGAGTTTGACCTAAACTTTTATTGTGTTGGTCTTTCATAATAAAGTAGATATTACAGCTCAAGTTCCAGATTTTCAACCGCAATGAATTATTTTTTACAATGTTTTAAAAGTCTAAAACCTATCCTCCGTGACTGTTACTCTTTTAGGTTAACCTATATGTTTTCAAATATCTGAGGTAGTAAAAGCATACTAAAAATATCAGTCCACTAAGTAATCGAATCAAATATCAAATATCTGAGGTAGTAAAAGCATACTAAAAATATCAGTTCACTAAGTAATCGAATCAAATATAAAATACTTATAATTAAAAATTAAAAGAAATAATTTTTATAACCACTTAGATATGTAGGTGTTACAAAAATTCTATCCTCCGTGAATCTGTTTTTGCTTTAAATTTTATGCAACGGATGGGCTTTAATCATTTTAAATAAGCAAAAACCTCTGTTTACGACATTATAGATGCCTGTGATTCCTAAAGGTCAGTTAGAATTTATATTCAGATGAGTGTTGCTGTTTTATAATTCAAAAGTTCATTAATTTGCTATTTAAAAACCTATCCACCGTGAAGTGTAAAAGTTAAAAGTTACATTAACTTATTTCAAATATACAAAGGCATGTTTAAAAAAAACATACGAAATTCTAACCTCCGTGAAGCTATCTACCGTGAAGCTCTAATATTCAAAATTTACATACATTAATGTATGATTTCTTAAAATTCTTGCATTAGTGCAGAACCACTTATGTTAGGTTATTACTAGACCTGGTGGCTTCCCAAAAACCCCATTCTAGACTAACAGTGAAACAACCAAAAATAATAATCATTTTCACTTAGGGGACATCTCAATATATTCACCCATATGCGTTTTTTATTTATTAAATATAAAATTTGTTAATGCATATAAATTGTTTGTATTTTAATAATTTTACCTTGTTTTGTAATTGTATAACTTTTTTATTTATTGTAAAAATATTTTAATATCCCTACTGAAAAATAAACTGCCGATAAAATGAATGTGTGTGTAAACAATATTTATTCCGTATTATCTTTTCTTATCGCTATTAAATTTAGTATTTTGTGAATAAGTGAATTTAAAATCAATATAAGAAAGACCAACAATGTTTTTTAAATTAAGGTATAGATGTTTATTTATTCATCAGGCTGTTTGTTTATTTGGTTAAAATATTAATCAGGAAATCGTAATCGATAAAAAGTAAATATATGGGGAAGGGTGAATTAATTTGAACAATGTGCACAAAAGCGCTCAGGGGTGCGATTCTCGAGTTGAGAGAACGCTATTCTCATGAGAAGTGGGCGTGTTTCACTTAAGTTTTGACAGGCTGCATTCTTAAAATCATGCAATAGTTTGGTTTTCCTAAAGCAGAAAAGAGTTTCCGAGAGAAGAACGCACTAACTTATCTTAAATTCAATAATGCAGCCTGTCAAAACTTGAGAGAAATGCCCACTTCTCCTATGAGAAGCGTTCTCTTAACTCGAGAATCGCCACCCAGGAAACACCGCATAACGCTCCGTTCGAATGGTAGAAGGCACCTTTCGACTTCCAAGGCTTCATTTACATTAAAAATAGTTAAAAAAAGAAAAACTGATTTATAATTAAATGACGTCCTTAATTAAAAATCCTTATACTTAGTTTAAGCAATTTTAAGGTTATTTATATTTGTTATGTGTATTTTTATAATTGTCATATTGTCACTAGACATACCTCTCCATGGTCCATACGGCCCTCTGGCGTATTTTCGGGCAAAAAATAAAGCCGCAAACTCGCCAACACTTGATCACTATTTTTATCATTCCACAACAATTGCAATTCACCAATGCACAATAGGTCCGAATCAATCCACAATTTAACAAAGAAAAACTCACTTAAAGTCACTATTCTTTTAACGCCGTTCTTCGTGTATTTAAACGCCTTGTAAAACGTGTACGGCCCATGCTGTCCGCAGGGCCCACCTATTAACTGAAAAAAAAAGAATAAAAATGGAATAAAAAAGCAACATAATAATTAATTAATGAAGTAAATAACGTACGCCATTGACATTTCGAGTTTTTAATTTAATAATATTCAAATTTATCTAAATGTAGGTAAATATTTTAATTACCCTCAACAAAAGCAACAATTTATGGTTCTTGAATCATCAAATCAACATTCACGCACGCCCCTGGTAAATATATCAACATTTTTATTATGACTTAAATAATAAGGTGTATGTATCTCGAATAAAACCTATTCTAAGCACTTTTTATTACCAACTTATTTAGATTTCATTAAAATTTAAACAATAACCAATAAAACACCTTGTATATCGCAAACGAAGCGAAATAAAAAATGTTTAGGTTTTTCATGACATTACAATGTGTGGTACTTATGTCCCTAACACCCAGTATTTTAGGTAGGTATAATATGCATTGCGCAAATTAAATTTAATTGCATCTGGTTGAAGGCAGAGATAAAAATACCTCGGTTATCGAAAGTTAAAATAATAAATAAATTTACCTACATAGGTAGGTAGATAATTTTAATTTAATAATTTAATGCAATAAAATTTAAATAACAAACAAAATAAAACGCCCCACACAAACAAATAAATTCCATACCGTGCACATAATGAAAGCAATCAATTAATTAATATTTATGTAAAGCAATAATAACAAAATTGAATTAAAATGGCAATAAAACACTTTAAAATTGCATTTTTTTCGGATTTTTATCCAAAACCCTTACAATAATATCATGTAATAATTACAGACCTGTATTTCACTTTTATCCATTTTTAATTCACAATTAATCACAGAGCACTCTGCCACAGCACGCTGACACCATCGTCTACTTTGTATTTACTCTAATTATATGACGTCACGATACATAGCTGGTCGCGCGCGGTCGTGGGATTTCGGTTCCGCTCGGCCTTGCTGGCGCTCCGGTAAATGGTAGGAGGAGATATACACAAAGAAATTGACATAACTTTTGTCAACAAGCGTTTTGTTCTCGAGGCCTAAAAAGTGAAACTGCCTGCCGTGTGCGAAGAGAGAAATTCAATGTTGTCAATCTTGGCCGATTAACGACGCTGTGTTTATATTAATGCGATTTTTTAAATGTAATTAGTTTTAATAAAATAAACACGCGGACATCTAGTGGGTAGATGGGGAAGCTGTTTGTTTAGAGGGGGATTTTCAAACATCAATTTTTAATAACTTGTTTTTTGTTTTTTATCATTTACATAAATAATGGATAATAGTACTTAATTGTTTTATGACTATCTAATATTAACTTATGTATACAAAAGCCCAAATTTAGTTTTTATTCTGTTGAAGAATATTTTGAAAAATAACTACAATTTTATCCTGTTATTCTTATAAGTTTTTTTAACATATATAGGTAAATGTTTACAATTTTATATTGTATTTTAGACGTTTTCCTATACAATTTTGTAAATTGTCATTTTTGGAAATAAATATTATTATTATTATTACAATTAACTGTTTTTCATTATAAATTATTATTAATTAAAAAATATTAATTTGACATCGATTGTAGAAGTCCATGCTTAAGCAAAACCATTGTTTTTAAAAACAATGAACAAACAAAATTGGTAAGTAAATTATATTCTCGTAATCGGTCTCTATTTTTAGAACGTTTGATTTCTGGTTCAGTATATCTTGTAATTTTACATTATATAAGAACATAGGCAACCCAGATTACAGGATAGAATATTAATTTCATAGAAATAACAGCTTGAGGAATATATGATTAATATGCAATGCACAGGTTTGTCTGTGGTATTAAGTCAAAACGTGTTAAAACTACAATAAACACTTAACTAATAATATATTATTACTAAACAGTGTGGTAAAATATTAAAGGCTGGATATTTAGTAAATAAATTTAAGTTATATAGGTAGGTATACGGGTTTTCTTTTTCAAGTTTTTATAAATTTTTATTTAATAACTACTTATGAGGAAACGAAATTTTAGCTTTTGTTTTATTTGGAAATGCCTTTTCAATGTTTATTCTGCCATTTTCTAAGACCGAATCATGGCTTACTCGATTATGTTACCTGTTACTTATTTTTATTTACCTGGGAGGGATGTGGAAAAACTGGTATTTACAAAAGATTTAAATGAAGAAAAACGGAAATAGATGAAAAAAAAGCAATAGAAAAATTTTCTTTAAAATTTAGATGAAATTTTATAAAATAAACAAAATAATAGTTTTTCCTGGGGCGTCCATATTTTTTTCCATATTTCTTCTACTTAGGAGATAAGTATCTGTTACTGTCCAAAAGTTATTAAACACAAACTATTTTTAAGAAAAAACCCACCAATTTATTTTTTAGCAACCTGTAAGAACCTTTAAATTAATTTTAATTAAAATAACAGACGAGGTGTGTTTAGAAAATAACGGGAATTGTAAATTTTCGCGGGTTCGGAGGGTCCGGTTGTCATAAAATTTTCTTCATTTATGTTGGTATACATGCCCCCGAAGTATGATAAAAACTTTAACTGTTTTCATTGTTTACTTTGTCTGTGGCAGCCGCCGAGGGGTAAACCACTGATTTTTTAAAATTAAAAATCGCTTACGAATTAACGGCTAAGGATAACAATAACAAGGGTAGTCATACGCAACGCGTCGCTAAGCACTGATTAAGCACCGATTAAGCAAGTTTTCCTTATTGATAACGACTGATAAGGAAAAAAATCTCAACACAACGTCCACTAATATTGAACGTTGGTCTCTAAGATTTTAGAGTGGTTTACCCCTCGGCAGCCGCTAAGGTTAGACGTGTTTTATGAGCTCGGCGATTTTTCGTTCGTTAAAAGAAATGGATCAAAGAATTTGTATCCAATTTTGCTTAAAAAATTAAATAAATTCTGTGAAATGTTAACAAAGGCCTATAGTGAATCTGCTATAAGTAAAACAAGAGTTTACAAGTGGTATAAGAGTTTCCAAGATGGCCGTGAAGACGTTGAAGATGACGAACGCACAAGCACATTAACAACATGAAAAAAGTGGAAGAAATTTGTTCTAAAATTGTTAAATTTTGAACAACATTTTTGGCCAAAAACAATACTGTAATGATGCCCCAGCCTCCATATTCGCCAGACATGCCTCTGTCTGACTTTTTTCTATTCCCAAAAATAAGGAGAACCTTAAAGGGCCGTCGTTTTGCAAGCATATGTGATATTAAAAGAGCATCGCTGAAAGAACTAAAGGCTATCCCAAAGATCGAGTTTTAGAAGTGTTTCGAGTATTGGAAGAAGAGCTGGCACATGTGCATAATATCCAATGGGGACTATTTTGAAGGCAACAACATTAATGAAGACGAATAAATAAATATTTGTTTCAAAAAACGAAAATTCTCGATATTTTCTGAACACACCTCGTATGTTAATTTTAATTTTACTCTGATAAAAATGCCTTAGGTTATGCAGAAACAAAAGTTAAAAACCCAGCTCTAGAATTTTTTAAACTTCACGTGTCAAAGGGGTTTGGAGAGTTTAATAATTCGTCACACCATCTTTTAGGGGGTATTTCTATCACGAAGGAAGGGGAGGGGGTTTATTTTCAACATTTATAGCATCACGAAATATATGGACGACCCTTAGTTCATATTGAATTTTGTTAACAGTAAACAAAAACCTTTTGACAACTTTATTAAAACAATGATCTGTTGACTAATGAATTTTTATAAAATAAATTTTTCTTTTGCGATTTCAGATATTCTGACTTAAATAATAAATCTTACTCAGTAAAAAATTTTTTTTGTAATAAATTAAATAAATTGAAAAACAATATTCTGCAGCTTTTAAAAATTCTTAAAACGAATTAAATTACACAAGAAAATTTTTGCCAAAAAACATCGAATTTAACCTGTAAAATTTCGGAAATTCTGACAGCTGCTAATTTCTATTTTAGAAGCTTCCTCGTGGAAGCATTTTTTATGTTTTCTTTTGTGGTTATTTGCTATTAAAGTAGCAAACAATTTTTTTTTTTAATTTTCTTTTGTTAAATTATTATTAATCCGATTACCCAGATAGCACAGAGACATCTTAAAGATATCTTAAAGATGTCGGACTCGAACATTTATGACATCTTTAAGACGTCCAGTTTACGACGTAAGTCATCTTTAAGATATCTTATGTTACAAAACACATCGTCTTTAAGATGTCGTTTTAACGGCCTTATTAAGTCGTTGCTAAACGTCGTTAAGACGTCTTTAAGATGTTAAAGACTAAAATCTACAAGAATATCAGATATTTTTTATTCAGTTACCCTACCCATCATCGTTGTCAAAACTCAAAATCCTACATTAATGTTGTTTCTATTACACCAAAATAAGATGGCACCTAATTATATCTTACTATGAAGTCGCTGATTTCGATTTAGACTTGTCAAAATTCACTATTTTATTAAAAAATTTAAAAAAAAATATACGGTGATATCAGGCATTTATAAGATGTCTTTAGAACATTAAATGAAGATATCTTTAAGACGTCTATGAAAAGACGTCTTTCAGACGTCTTTTTTTGATCTTCAGACGTTCAGGCATAATACAGACATACAAAAGACATCTTCAAGACTTGGTGTGCTCTGGAAATTAGCAGTTTTTATTAAGCAATTTCAATTCAGTTTTCTTTACTTAAATATTTCTGTTTTTTTTTTAATGAATCCATCACATTACGGCCATTACAAGCGCGCGAAACGCACGAATTAAAAAACTGTTTTTATGAAAAAAATTGTAGATAATTTATTATATAATATTTTGGCATCAAAATTCTTAAAAATATTCTTATTTTATTAGGTTATACATTAAATAAAAAAACGCAAGAAATATTTTATAAAAGTAGAGATAATATTAATAATTGAAAGCTGTCAATTATTGAAATTAAGTCTATTTTTATAAAATATTTCTTGCGTTTTTTTATTTAATGTATAACCTAATAAAAGAACAATATATATGACAATTTTGATGCAAAAATCATAAAAATAAATTAGCTACAATTTTTTTTATCAGTACAGTTTTGTGATTTGTCCCGTCCGTATGCTTGAAATGGCCAAATATTCTCTTAATGATTGAGAAGAAATGAAACTGAAAAAGGACAGATATTGGGCAGCCGTCCAACGCCAAAAATTTCATCAATATTTAACCATTGATTAATAACTATAGTTATAGTATTATAGTTATACTACTCCTTCACTCAAGGATTTAACGATATGAGGCAAGGTAAGCAATATTCACGAACTTGGTACGAAACCTATACGCGGCTAAGCGGAAGTTTTTATAAACAAAGCTTATTTCTGTTGGCATTGTATTTTATTAGGCCGCGTCAAAAACAATTGAAGTTCAGGGGGTGGGTATTCCGATTACTCTGATGTTTTATTTGTTTTATACGAGGTGTGTTCAGAAAATATCGGGAATTTTCGTTTTTTGAAACAAATATTTATTTATTCGTCTACATTAATGTTGTCGCCTTCAAAATAGTCCCCATTGGATATTATGCATATGTGCCAGCTCTTCTTCCAATACTCGAAACACTTCTAAAACTCGATCTTTGAGATATCCTTTAGTTCTTTCAGCGATGCACTTTTAATGTCATCTATGGTTGCAAAACGACGGCCCTTTAAGGTTTTCTTTATTTTTGGGAATAGTAAAAAGTCAGACAGAGGCATGTCTGGCGAATATGGAGGCTGGGGCATCATTACAGTATTGTTTTTGGCCAAAAATTTTGTTCAAAATTTATCAATTTTGGAACAAATTTTGCTGTCACGCGTTTCATACCCAAAACATTTGAAAAAATTTCATGGGATGAGCCAATCGATATACCAACATCATCAGCGACTTCTCTGATGGTTTATAACCATTTCTTCCACTTTTTCCATGTTTTTATCGGTTGTTAATGTGCTTGTGCGTTCGGGGCGTTCGTCATCTTCAACGTCTTCACGGCCATCTTGGAAACTCTTATACCACTTGTAAACTCTTATTTTACTTATAGCAGACTCACTATAGGCCTTTGTTAACATTTCAAAGAATTTATTTCATTTTTTAAGCAAAATTGGATACAAATGGATCAAAGACCATTTCTTTTAACGAACGAAAATCGCCGAGCTCATAAAACACGTCTAACCTTAGCGGCTGCCACAGACAAAGTAAACAATGAAAACAGCTAAAGTTTTTATCATACTTCGGGGACATGTATACCAACATAATAAAAAAATTTTATGACAACCGGACCCTCCGAACCCGCGAAATTTAACAATTTCCGTTATTTTCTGAACACACCTCGTAAATATATTTTTAAGTTCCAGATATATATTTTTAAAACAGAAATCTATGATTTTGAGTATCGCAATTTGGGTTAAGATTGCTTTGATATTTTCTTTGTTTTTAATTTTTTTTTTTATAATGGTATAGTAGGTCTAACGCGTCGCAGAATAATAATTTTTAAAATTTCCGGAAAAATTGAGCCGGCAGAAAAAAACGAAAAAATTGGGAAATATTCAGAAAAATTGACTTTGGCCCTTTTTTCATTTTATTTAAAGGGTAATTACGAAAAAAAATAATGGTAAATTTTTCTGAAAATTTCCAAATATCTGTACAATGATATCAAGAAAAAAGTGAATTAACATAACTATCGTTTTATTTGACACATCGATTTATAAAATTATAATTTTGTAATTTAACTTATAAATCATTCATTATTTTGTAAATGGATATTTTCAATGGACTCCTTTTTTTGTAATAATTGTATTATCCTTAATGATATTTTTTTAAAAATTAAAATATATATTTTTAAATAAAAAAATTTTTTCCAAATTTTTCCATGGACTGAAAAAAAACATTTTCCCCCAATTTTTCCGGGTTTTTTTCGACACTTTAAAACTCTACTTTAGCTTCACCCTTTTATACACCCATGAGCCGCCACTGTTTAGCAGGAATCTTTAAATGCATATAAATTTATCAAAACTCTTATAATATCACAAATATTGCATAATTAATTAATAAACCCAAGTTCATAGTACAATTTTTATTGTTGAGAAATAAATACGAGGTTAATCAGTTCAACATTTAACATTTTTATCTCCATTCAAATAATACTAAATAAATTAAACATAAGGTCGGGTGTCAATTGAGTTGCTGCAACTGTCCGTCAACCCACTGCCTAAATTTGGCAACGTCGGCGTATACCCCCGGAATTTTTTCTTCGCCGCATCCGATACCCCATGCGACGATGCCAGCTTGCACGTATCTCCTAGGGTTTTGAGGGTCAGGACATACCAAAGGACTGCCTCCGTCGCCCTAAAAAATGTTTAAATTTTTATTAAGTGAGTTTATAAATTTAATAAAATAGAAAAATGGAAAAAAATTACAATGGCAGATTATTATACTATTGTATTATTATATATACAGGGTGGAAACCTTAACTGAAATAAATTCTGTATTTTGAAAACCACTTACTTTTAAAAAAAAATCCAAAAACAGGTCAATTTATAAATTTACCTTGGTAAATTGTGGTAAATCTTAAAAATATAAGAAACCAACCCTAACTTTTTTTTTCAAATGCAAAGGTATATCAAGTGATACATCATTTGAAAGCTTGTTTTAATAGGAATTCATACAAATATGCAATTTTTAATTATTTTATTTTGGTACCTTAAAGAAATAAATACTTTTTTTATATCCACCAAAAACGTTGTATATTAAACCGAAAGAATGTATTTTACTTCTTTAAAATTAGTTGCAAATATCGTGTTCTAAATTGACCGTAAAATGTTTTATTTAACTGAAACTTTGCGTATTGAGATTCTAATGATGATTGGATTTGGTGATAGACGTCGAAATCAGACAGAAGTTGCACGATTATTTAACGAAACTCATCCAGAATTGCCAAGGGACAGTTAGTAAAGTAGAAGCAAAATATCACGAAAATGGTCATGTAAGAAATATTCCTAGACAACGCCAGCCTATCGTTGAAGACAATACGAAGCTTAATGTACTATTAGCAATCCAAGAAAATCCTGTTACTTCAGCTCGACAAATTGCTCGCGAGAACGATTTGAGCCACACCACTGTAATGAAGTTACTACCTGCTTCAAAAATGCATCCGTATAAGATGCAAGCAGTACAGGAACTAATTGGGGATGATACCTTTGCATTTGAAAAAAAAAGTTAGGGTTGGTTGCACCCTCAAAGGGTGGTTTCTTATATTTTTAAGATTTACCACAATTTACCCAGGTAATTTTATAAATTGACCTGTTTTTGGATTTTTTTAAAAAGTAAGTGGTTTTCAAAATACAGAATTTATTCCAGTTAAGATTTCCACCCTGTATATATTAGTATATTGTTATATTATCAAGTTTGATAAACGCCATTTTAGTCACGAATTTATAAACGAGTTGCATACTATTCTTTTTCTACGACAAATACTTATTATTATCTAAAAAATTATTTTAATTAAATCTTTGTATAAAGCTACATCTACGAGATGTGTTCAGAAAATAACGGGAATTGTTAAATTTCGCGGGTTCGGAGGGTCCGGTTGTCATAAAATTTTCTTTATTATGTTGGTATACATGCCCCCGAAGTATGATAAAAACTTGCTGTTTTCATTGTTTACTTTGTCTGTGGCAGCCGCAAAGGTTAGACGTGTTTTATGAGCTCGACGATTTTCGTTCGTTAAAAGAAATAGATCAAAGAATTTGTATCCAATTTTGCTTAAAAAATGAAATAAATTCTGTGAAATGTTATCAAAGTCCTATAGTGAGTCTGCTATAAGTAAAACAAAAGTTTACAAGTGGTATAAGAGTTTCCAAGATGGCCGTGAAGACGTTGAAGATGACGAACGCCCCGAACGCCCAAGCACATTAACAACCGATAAAAACATGGAAAAAGTGGAAAAAATGGTTATACACCATCAGAGAAGTCGCTGATGATGTTGGTATATCGATTGGCTCATCCCATGAAATTTTTTCGAATGTTTTGGGTATGAAACGCGTGGCAGCAAAATTTGTTCTAAAATTGTTAAATTTTGAACAAAATTTTTGGCCAAAAACAATACTGTAATGATGCCCCAGCCTCCATATTCGCCAGACATGCCTCTGTCTGACTTTTTCCTATTCCCAAAAATAAAGAGAACCTTAAAGGGCTGTCGTTTTGCAAGCATAGATGACATTAAAAGCGCATCGCTGAAAGAACTAAAGGCTATCCAAAAGATCGAGTTTTAGAAGTGTTTCGAGTATTGGAAGAAGAGCTGGCACATGTGCATAATATCCAATGGGGACTATTTTGAAGGCGACAACATTAATGTAGACGAATAAATAAATATTTGTTTCAAAAAACGAAAATTCCCGATATTTTCTGAACACACCTCGTATACGAAAAGTTTTTTTGACGTAATTTTCACCATTAACATTGCCCGTTATTAGTAAACTTAAAAATTATTGATAGGTACTTTAAAATATTAAAATATCTTAAAAATAAGATGTTATGTTAAGAACATTTTTTATCCTTATTTTTTTATTACTTACTATAATTGCAAAATAGTATCACAAAGTATTAAAAATTCTTACACGGGAAATGTTAAGGTACAAAAAGTGACAGTTGCATTTATTGGAATTCCCGTTAGAAATTCTAACTTGGAAATCTACCGGCGTTAAAGTCTTAAATTGTTCTGTGTAAATCAAAATTTATCCTTTGAAAATAGACTAACAATCGATATAGAAGCAGTTTTTCATAGTAAAAGAGAAGAGAATGTTTTATGGGCATTGTACGCAAAATTTGTAACGCTTTATCAGTTAAATCTAGTTAACTAAACTACAACGGCGAAATCAAAAGGTCAGTCCAAACGTTTATATAATCTTGGTGTCAAGAAACTATTTAAGACTTTTGGGCCATTTCAGGCGCGCGAAACGCACGAATTACAGAACTGTTTTTATAAAATAAATGTCTATCTATTTGCGTTAATAATGACTTCCTTGTAACACCGCTGTCGGTGCTGTAATGAGATACTGTATCGCATCCAAAATTTTGATTTTATAGGTTGGCTATACTTTCAACAGCATAATATTTTGCATATTGGTTATAATATTATTATGATTTTTCTATAGACTTTTCTGGCAATAAATTTTGTTTAACACCAAAGAAAATCCTTTTTTTCTTCTTTAACATTAACAGCCGCTTATTGTAAATAAGTAAATTAAGGACGGCATGGCGAATCGATTTTGACATTAACTGTCAAACCAATGACTGTGATACCAACTATCTAAAGTAAAATTCGACCAAATTAAATTTTAGGTATAAAATTATTTTTTTTTATAAAATTTTTGCAAAATAAATAAAAAAGCATAAAGAACTCATGTCATAAGACCTTTTGTCGCACTCGTCAAATACAATAAATATAATAGTAGATAATTTATTATATAACATTTTAGCATCAAAATTGTCAAAAATATTCTTCTTTTATTAGGCCATACATTAAATTAATTAAAACGCAAGAAATATTTTATAAAAGTTGTGATAATTTTAATAATTGAAAGGTGGACGGGACGAAAAAAAGAAGAAAAAGTCCACATCTGTCAATTATTAAAGTTATCTCTACTTTTATAAAATATTTCTTGCGTTTTTTTTTAATTTAATGTATAGCCCAATGAATAAAGAATATTTTTGACAATTTTGATGCCAAAATTTTAATTTAATAAAATATCTACCATTTTTTTTTATAAAAACAGTTTTGTGATTTGTAATAATAATAATAATAATAAAATAATTTGCACATTTAGTATTATTTTATAAGAAAGGCACTTTATTTTAACGATTGGATGACATTTGACAACTGTCAACTAACTTAAAACTAATTTCAGCCCGTGACTTAAGCGCCATAGCCACAACTTGTCAATGTGTATTTAAAAGGTTATTTACCCAGGCAACAATTTAAGTATTTGTTACCTATATGGGACTATTGAAGAAACTTTAAAGTGTTTTGCGACAGTCGCCGGTCTCTTTATATTAGGTACTCTTTTATTATTAAGTTACGGCTAAAGTGGGGAACAAATATTGAGTTCCAAAAAGGTAACAAATATGTCACTAGCTATAAATCCTGCTACTATTTGAAACGTAGCTGCTACGTTACTAGAACGTTTCAATATCGTTGCTAGAGCGTTATAATTACTTTTATTTATTTTTTTTTACTTCTATATTAACTGTCTTTGTCAAACTTATATTAGATTATACTATCCTTCCTTTTTAAATGGAACCACTACGGACTTGGCTTTTCAATGTCGTCGTTTATTAAATGTACTGGAAGTTTATAACTACCAGAATAACAATATAATGTTTAATTAGGCAGGTAAATTTATAAACCCTTTAAATTTTACTGTTGAACTCATGAATTTAGTTCTTGTAAAATAAATGCGCTTCATCAATATTTAAGTATAAACAAATTATTTATTTAATAATGTTTATAAATAAAGAAATCTTAATATTTCTTATTAATTTTTTATTTAATTATTAATACCGTCTATTACCAACAATATTACTATTTATTAAAAAGTAAACAACCATTTACAAACAATTAAAATAATTTATTATTTACATTACCACGTGGTACTGTACAGTAAAAAATGGCCGATAAGAAGCATTTTCCTTTGAAGTAGTTTTCGCTACTTTAAAGTTTTTTTCACCTTAATTTATTTAACGGTAGTTTTGGTTAGTACCATAAACGTTCCAAATACTAAAATAATAACTTTTAAGTTATTAACTTTGTAGTTTTTAACTCATGTTCCAGTTTCGAGATTATAACTTGCAAAGGGACTACAAAGTAAAAATAATTATAATGTAATCTTTAGGTAGCAACCGAAAGTAACTGCTACAAATTAAATTTACTTGAAAGTTTATTTACTTATAATACCTTTTTTAAAGTTGTTAAGTCTTCTTGGGGGCAACCAAGTTTTACTTAAATGTTTATTACTTTATAGTTACCATTTAAGGAAAGAATGAAGTTTATGTTACAAAATATTGCTATATAAAAGTTAGAATTACTTTTAAGTAAAAATTAAAGTAGCTGTTTAGTATACTTAAGCAATTTAAAGTTATCAACACTTTGGTAATGGTTTTTGGAACCAAAAATGCTGCTTGGGGACTCCCCCAATGGGGAGTACATCTGCATTTTTTGACATTACAAGAATTCTTACCGTACAAGTGTCTCTTCCAGCAATTCCACCAGCGCAAGTGAAACTTTTGTCCAAATTGAAATGAATTCCTAATCTAGTAGTCCTCAACAATTCCTGGCATCTTTGACGTTGAACAATAGGAAGTTCAATTTTCTTTAAAATTGATGAATAACGTCCATCCTTTCCTACAAAGTTATTGTTAAATCGATAAGTTTCAATGTTCCAATGTTAAAAAATATAAAAGTGTATAGGATGACGATTAAATTTGACGATTTGTTGAGCGTTTTGAACATTGAATGAAGACAGAATTTTAAGGTTTCAAATATCAAGGAGTAGTCGGATCCTCCTATAAATCCGTTAATAGAGGTTTTTGGGGTCGCTGATAACGAATCTGAAATCAGAATTCCAAAACTCAAAATGGTAGATCCAAAATGGCGGACATATTTGTCAAAAAATTGACGGAATAAATTGAAAATACAGGGGTTTTTGTGGTCGCTGATAATGAATCTGGAATCAGAATTCCAAAATTCAAAATGGTGGACCTCAAATGGCGGACATTTTTATAAAAAAATTGTCGAAATTAATTAAAAACCCGTAAGAGGTTCTTTTTAAAATGTAAATAAAACATCTTTTTATAAAATAGCTTAATTTAGTTTATTATAATTACATTTATATGATATTATTTAATACCTACATATATATTAAACAATCTCCGTCACTGGATTCGCTAAAAAAATTGTGAACACAAATAACCACAATTCAAATTTGACATTAACACACTACAATGCGCATGCGGAGTTGTTTTAACGCACCTACAAGAGGTGGGTTAAATATTTAAAATCGGTGTTAAATATCTTAGTAGTCACGAACGATTTACGCAAGTGAAAGTCTAGACACCGCTGATGTAATAAACGTTTTGAGATAAATCCGACTGAATCGAGTAAACGTCATGAACGCAACCCAGATACGCGCGCGACATAGGCTTAAAATCGCGAGGTTTTTTACCACAACCGTGCCCGAGCGCCCAAGAACATGTACTTTTAAAAAGCCGGGGGCGAGTTGGGGCAGATAATTTATTGATGGCTTGATAGACAAAACTCTAAGCTATTCAACGAATCTTGAACTGATGCCTTACAATTCATTACAATTTTTGTAGCTCCATTCTTCTAGAAGCTCGATTCAAAGTTTGCGATTTTAACAGACCGATTGTCGGTTACGATAACCCGTTGTACAAGCAAAATCTACGAAAAACAAATACATATCTGAATTTTAGATACCTTGAAGATAACCCTTCATCAAACCGCATAACAATCGGACACAACAAACACAAGTTATTCACTTTTAAACAATAAACAATTTTTCGCAGCGATCGCGTGTAAAGTACCTTCAACTGAAAGCGTCAAGTTTAAACTGGTGTACAAGACAAAATATACGTATTTTGTATAATTTTTTTTCAATACAGAATGGAGACAGGTATTAATTACCCATCTAACTCAAAATTTACCTGAAAAAAAATGTCAATTTTTGAGGTTTTGTCGATATTTTCCAGAATTGAAACGCGTCATCCAATAGACTTCTATATTTTTCCGTTTGTCATGGTTAAGATTTCGTTTGAATTTCAAAATTGGAATAGAACTCGGTACCTACCGAAATTATCTTTTCCCCATCCAGTAGCGAAGCAATTCGTCGAGTCTATGATCTGATTCTGTTGTGGCAAACACACAAGACCGATATGCTCGGCCTCTTGGATAGGGGAGTCCAATAGTAGCAAAGCCACATCGTTAAACAAGGTGTTTTGATGAAAATCGTTGTGTGTAATTATTCGAACAACGTTTCTTTCTTGATACGGCAATCGTTCTTTTTCCGTCTGAGTGTCCCATTCGCCGGCTCTTACTTTTATGTCGTTTATTTTAAAACTAAAATTGAATATTATTAATAGGTACATTAAAAACTTTTTATTATTTAAGCTATACTATGGGGCGACGTTTTATTTTTTATTCAGGAATTATTCTTATATGTTAAGACTAATTATAAGGTGGGATTTTCACTTATCATATAAGATTTTTTATTCTGCAAATTAAAAATATCATAGTAGATATTTAAAAATTTAATTTAATTTTTATGCACAACTGATACTTTTAATTTAGTGAATTTAAAATATCTGTTTCTAAATTTGTATAAATTTCAGGAAAAATGGAAATGTCCACTTTTTTCTTTGACCTCTTTAATTATCAATATATTTATATCGAAAATATCTTGTTTTCTTCATATAATAACACGTAAATAATTTAAAAATTGACATAGGGTAAAGTAGACAGTTATCGGACATTTTATAGCTATTGGACAATTAACATTAATACTGTAAAAACAAGAGTTCTATAAATAGTTACCTTAAAGTCAAATCATTAGATGACGCTGTATACAATTATAACTATACTTTATTTTGGGTCCAATATAGGACAAAAAAATTTGCACGTTACTTTGGTGGTAAGATTTTTGTTTTTTTGTTATAAGCAGGGCTGTGTTTAAATTATAATAAAAAATATTTCTAAAAAGTGTACAGATCTGTGTGTGGTATAAATGTGTTCCCCATGGCTTAAACATTGTCACTTTAATGCGTTTTAATTTTTATTCTGAAAACAAACAGTAAAATGGCCAGTGTCCAATTACTGGTTGGTAGAAAATGTAAATTTATATTATTAGACATATGTCGAATATCATACTCTATTTATATCCCGGACATTCACCAGCCAATTCTTATGTAAAATTGTCCCTTGAATCCGAAAAGACCGTCAAAAACTATACAAGTTAAGCAGTTTTTAAGATATAGTCAATTCCATATTATATGTAAAATTGATTATATTTCAAAAACTGTTATACTTTTATAACTTATTACGACATTTTTGAATTCAGCGAAAAATATTTCATAGGAATTGACTGCTAAATGTCCTGGATAAAATTGCTGTTAACAATAATTCTTAGTGGCTGCTTTTTCGCTATGACAAATACAGTGCATGATAGAGAACATAAAAAACTAATGGGAACAAAATTAATGAATTCGGAAAATACCACATACCACCCGAAAAATATTAATACCTATTATATTATTATATATATGTAAATCATCCTGTTCCGGCCTAAACATTATAAATGCTTCACAAACTAGAGATACCACACTTTGCAACAAACTATTTCAGAAGTCAACCAAGAAATTAGTAGTTATGTACCTTCAGAATCCAGAAAAGGGATGAGGAATCCGAGCAAAAAATATATGAATTATATGATATTTACAAAAACGAAATAAACAAAAATTACCTAAAACAGCAATTTATCTTTAAAAAATATTTAACAATTTAAGTTATTTGATGTAAAGTTGTTATATTTATATAAAAATTGTATGTCCAATAACTATGGTCCATGTGTCCAATTACTACATAAAAGCTCCAATTACTATACTTTTTTGCATGTTTTTATAAAACTATTATTAAAAATTCAAATATTCTTATTAAGTAAACGCAAATAAAGTTTAAACAAACAAACAATTCTTTTTATATATTTGTAAGAAAAAAACTAAAATCTTTAAAACAACGGCATATATATATATATATATATAAATTATATATAAATTTTAAATAAATAATATTCCTGTCCAATAACTATTGGTTAACCCTACTTACTTTGATGATTTTTATTCATCCTTAGCAAAGAAAATATTATTGCATTTTTATTTTTGTCCAAAAAAACACCCCATTGAGTAAACTTAAGATCAATTGGTCAAATTTTTAAAAACACAATAAAAAACTTAGTTTAAATGTATTACATATTAAACTAAGCTAATTATTTTGTCAGATTTTACTTTTAAAAAAATGATACTCTTAAATTAAAAAAAAATGTGAAATCTGGTAACTTTTCGATGCGACCTCTGGTGAAATTCTCGTTTTTTATTTGGCAACACTGTCCCATACTGAGAGAAGGTTTTATTTCAGCAAAAGGCATAACGTTTGTTTCAAACGTATGACATTTTGGAGCTTCCGCAAAACTGCTATTGAACGAAACGCATGTAGATTTGTGTCAAATTTGCTGATTTTGAATTCTTTGTTGAATAATTTTCTGATAAATTGGTACCAGTGTAGACGATTTTGTATGAATCGATGTAAGTTTGCCTCAAACTTACTAATTTTGAATTTCTTGACAAGTAACTTTAGGAAAAATTGGTATCTGCTTGTTACCAATAAAGTTCATTTCCATTAAACGTACCTGCATTTCTAAAGAAATTACGGTTTCTTTGGATGAAACGCCATATTGCTTAAGAATATTGTATAAATCGTCGGCCTTATCATGAAGTGGCCTAACCCACAAAATTGAAAAACAAAATGAGATTTTTTGCAGAATAACTTACGATTCTATTCTCACGAAATGGCCTATGTATTTTTAAAGTAGAGACTTTGTACTATTGGCCACCTCGTGGAGTAATAGAATAGACCATCGTAAGTTAACTCTCGCAAAATGTCACTGTTTTCAATTTTGTGGGTTAGGCCACTTCGTGATAAGGCCGACTATTTATACAATATTCTTAAACGTTATGCCATTTCATCCAAATGTTTTCATGGAAGCAAAATTATTTTGTAAAAACCGTATGTATACAGTCGAGGCAAATTTAAAACTTTATAAGACACTGTAAGTGCACGAGAAGACGCGTTTCAAGAGGCGTTCCCCCACTCCAGAAATTGCGCTTTTCAAACTAAGCACAATTGCCCATTAACTTTGATATGTTTGCCACAAACTTATTATATTTGTTGCAAATGCTGAGCTTTTCGCAAAAATTGTAGCAGATTTATTATAAGTTTTATGAAAACCCACCTAAATTTAATTCAAACGTAAAAAACCTAATAATATTGACTATCAGTACAAAGTTTGCATAGAACTTAATAATAATCCAAACAAAAACAGCAGCCTAAACGAATAATCCATTTCTGGCAAAGCAGTTCACCCATTCTAAGCAAAAGCACTAATTTTGAATTAAATTTCAGTTCTTTGATTCAAAGCAATCAGGGTCAAACAATTGCAATAATTGTTAAAAATATTCTTTTCCCTCAGTGTATGGGCTACTATACAAAGCGCATAAAAAGATTTAATAACTAACTTGTAAACGCAGTGAGCTCCTGTAAGCACCACGTTGGGCGCAATCAGAGATCCTCCGCAAATGGCCAAATTTTTATCGACATTGGGATTGTAATTGTTCTTGAGGATCGCGACCATCCATGGAAACTCTCCGTATTCAGCCTCGTTCTCGGTGTTGCCTGTGATCTTGAAGTCCACTCCGTTCGTGTTTCTTATGCCGCAACCGGCTTGCAGTGGTGGAGAAGTTGGTCTTTGAGTGGGTCTAGGTGTTGGTCTGGGAGTTGGTACGGGATTGTCAATGTCGGGTTCGCGGTTTTTGTCGGGATCTGGCGCCCCTCCTTCGGGAATTTTACAGCAGACATCCAGGAGTTCTGCACAACTGTTTGCTCCAAACCTAGAAAAATATTTAACCAAGTTAGTACATAACAAGTAACCTACAGGTTTGTATTTTGGAAAGAAATATATAGAAACGCACACTAATCTTTGTAGGTGTTGAAAAAAAAATAATCATAATATTTTAATTTTTTTCTGGCGCTTTGATATTCATTTTTGTATTATTTTTAGTTTTTGTATTTCTTTTGTGAAAAACGAGGTAAAATATATCCGTAGAATATTTCGATTGAAATAAAAAATGTCGCTCTTCAAAAAAAGTCAAAATTTAAGTTAAAAGTTAAAAAAAAAACAGTGAAAAAAAATTTTGGTTTTTATATTTTTTTTTCAGAAACTACATTTCAAAACGAAGAAAATAGCCAAATGAGGTTACGATAATTTAAAATTAACGTATCGTTATTTTTTTGCGATTTTCAAAAATTCATATCTTCGCCCTGATAGCACAGTTTATTTATTCTAAGAATGTTTTTTAAACCTTCCAGTGAGAATATTCTTAGGATCATGCTATATATCTTCTAGGCATGTTCTAAGAATGTTTTTTAAACCTTCCAGTGAGAATATGCTTAGGATCATCCTATATTTCTTCTAAAGAACATGCTTAAAAGAAATATAGCATAATCCTAAGAATATTCTCACTGGCCTCTAGGCAGGTTCTTAGAAGGTGCAAAGTTTAGTGGTAAAAATTAATCCACTCTAAATATATGCTTAGAATGTTGAGAAAGTAATTAGTATTAAATATCTACTAAGTAAAAAACAACCCAAAATATTTTTTATAGTTATTTATCAAATTAAAACAATATTAGATAACAAAAATACTTTTACTATATATAGTATACCTATATAGGTATTTTATTTTATGTTAAAAATAAATATTTATTAATTTGTATACCGATTTTTTATTTCTGAATTAACATTTTTATGTATAATAATCCTACTATCTTCAACTTCAATCTAATCTGACTTATCCCACAAAATTTTCCAATTTTACTTTTTATGAAATAATGTCATACAACTTATGTTTCAGAGGTCAAATTGTTTATTTAATATTTTTAAATAAATATATATTAATATGTCGCAAATTTTTTTAAGGGGACAACAAATACATTTCACTTTCATAATATGACAGTGAGGCGTATTTGTCGCCTCCTGAAGAATTTTACGAATGTAGAATCCAACATATTAGAACGTGGGTATCTAAAATATTTGGAAATATTCTCAAAAGCTTCCTAGAAGCTCCATAAGAAACCTTCTGAGACATTCCAAAAACGTATTCTTAAAATGTTCTTAGATTGCTTTTTAGGAAGGTTTTAAGAAGCTTCTTCTGAATGTTTTAAAAGTCCCTAAGAACATTCTTAGCAATAAGGGAAGGTTCTAAGAATATTCCATTATTCCGAGTCGTATCTTCTTAGAAGATTCTTAGAATCAAATTTTGCTATCAGGGCGGGGATTAAGGGCTCAAAATGTAGGGTTAGGCGTCTTTTGATACGTACAAAAACATATTAAAAATTTAACTGAATCAAAAAATACAATCTTTAAAATTTGGTGATTTGATATGGAATGATATATATATATATATATATATTATATACGAGCCCTAACCACAAAATGTTCGGACACTTCATAATTTATACAGAAATATTTTTCGTGAATACTATCTCAAAATTATTAGAAGTTATGCATAAAATATTAAACAAACCCTGAAAATTTGGTAAAAAATAAATTAGTTATAAAAAAGTATAAGTAATTTAAAAATGCTATTTTTAAAGAGTTTTTGCAATTTTCTTAGGAAACGGGAGATTTTGCAGATATATATACCGTTATAACTTTCTTATTATTTATACAATTTTTACCAAACTTTCAGGGTTTGTATAATATTATATATTCTTTTTAATGGGCCCATTTATAACTTTTTTTACTCATACAAAAAAAAGTTAAAAAGTTAGCCTTTTTTAAAAGCTAAAAATAAAAGGTAAACTTTTTAAAAATAAAAATCGCTTCGAGGGGTATATGCCAAAATAAGCTGAATTTTTCATAACTTCTAATAATTTTGAGATAGTATTCACGAAAAATATTTCTGTATAAATTATGAAGTGTCCGAACATTTTGTGGTTAGGGCTCGTATAAATATGTCAAAATTTCAACAAGATTTCTAAACACTGTGATATTAATTTTAGTACTTTAAGTACGAACTCTTATTGAATTGCACCACTTCTAATATGCACATATATGTACCTGTTATATATGTTCTTTTATTATTATTAATGTATGTATAGTATACATTGTATACACATATGTTGAATATAAAATTATACAGGTTGAGTCATTTAAATTGAAACTTTGAAATATCCCCAGGTAGCACAATGACGTCTTAAATACGTCATTTTTTGGTCGGATCTGACGTCATGAGACGTCCCAACCGAGGTCCTAATGACGTCGTGTCGACGGTAAAATGTCACAGCCCAATGACGTCAGAGCGTGACGTACCAGTTACGTCAGACCATAACGTACCGATGACGTCAGGCCGTAACGTCCAATGACGTACCAATGACGTTAAAATAAGCACACAAAGAAAGCAAATTGCATTCTACTGGCAATTGGCGCTCATAAGCGTCGATAACTGTATACTGTCGACGACGCTTATAGGCGCAGATTGCCAGTAAGCAAGCAATCGGCTTTTCTTGTGTGCGTATCTTTAGACCGTAAAGTACCAATGACGACAGACCAGAACATATTAAAAATACTAAGTGTAAAAAACAATTTATTAAAAAGACAATAAATAGAAATAACAAAACAGGAAATAAATTATTTTATTCTATGGTCATTATAATGTATACATCCAAATAAGAAAAAATAAACTTAAAGCTTACATAAATTATTATTATTACTAATTTCATAAATTGCACCAGCTGCTCAGGTAAAGACTGACCATTATTGGCGGGCTGTTTTTGCTCGATATTTGACAGAACTCTTTTATTTTGCTCTGCAATTGTTTCTAACAAATTTAGTACCTTTTTTATTGAAAGCTAAAAAAGTAGTCTTTTGGCAAAAAGGATTAGTTACAAAGCTTGAACAAAATACCTGATTCTTCCAGGATTTGAATCCGTGTGTTTGAAGATGTCGGCAGGATTATTTTCAATTTCGTTGTCTTCAATTGAGGTACAACCTAATTTAATGCCCTCTTCTAAAGTTCGCCTTTTGAACTCACCTATTTTTGGGGGACGATGGAGCCACACTTCATTATATTCCTCGGAATCTGAAGATATGTATCTTTTATGACCTAATTATTGTATGGACTGTAGATTGCCTATTTTATTGAAAAAGCTAAAAAAAAAATTTTGCACGTTAGAACATTTAGTGACCCAGTTACTTCAACCCCACCACCACTTAAGGGTTAATTAATAGAAGCTTATTCATTCTTACCTAAAGTGTAAAAGCATCTTTTTATTTTAAATAGTTTCCATGTGTCCTTGGCATCTTCACCTTTACGTAAGGCTTTATTAAGCTGGGATTTCTGTTTGTATGGAGGCCAAAAAACTTGGGTTTTAAGAGGGGTCATCCAATTGTCATGGACAACTGCCAATTTTCCCTCTTCATTACCTTCTCTTTGAAAAGAAAAGACATTTTTCACCAATTAAACAATTGAATTATTAATCATTATAACATTTTGACAGTGGCGGCTGGTGGATTTTGGGCACACCCATATCTCAGTTATTAGACATGGGACCCACATCAAATTTATACAAGTTTATAATGATATTATATAGACAAGTTCTGCGCAAGCAGAATTTAAATTGAAGTTTGCAAAAAAAGTTAGTTTTTAAGTGTGCCCCCCAGCCTCCTGCCCATCCCCCCAAATTAAGATAATTCAAATTAAAGTGGTACAATATTTAAATCACTGAAGTTTATCAACAAATTTCAAAAACAATCAAGTATTACAGATTTTATACCATTTCTATTTTTTTTTAAATTCATTAAAAGAAATAATAAAAATTTAAAATGATATAAAACCTGTAATACTTAATTTTTTTTAATAAAATTTGAAATATGTCGATAAACTTCAGTGAATTAAATATTGAACCACTTTAATTTAAATTATCTTAATTTGGGGGGCAGGAGGCTGGGGGGGCACACTTAAAAACTAACTTTTTTTCGCAAACTTTAATTTAAATTCTGCTTGTGCAGAACTTGTCTATATAATGTCACACTGTTCAAAATTTTAGCTAATTTTTACCTAAAATATTAGACTATATAGGACCATTGATTTTTTAAGGCAAACTGCCTGAAATGAATTCAGAGGAATATTCCCCTTTTAAATTAGTGAATTCTTTAACTGATATTTTTAAAGAAAATGATACAATTAATTAAGCAAAATTACTTAGGTTTCAAAGATGATACACCTTAGATCGTAAGGGATATTGCCTGAGAATAAAAGAATAAATTTCCTGTTTCTAAGGCAATTTGCTTAAATTTTTAGGTAGATTATATATATTTTTAGTGAAAATCCTCTTATTTTTCACGGTAAATTTATCTAATTTTTTTAGATATACCCTTTTTTCGGGTAATTTTCTACCAATTTTTTAGTAAAATTCTACTAACTTTCTAGTAAAATTTTACTTATTTTCTAGTGAAATTCTACTATTTCATTAAATAAAAATATAAGGGAAACAAGAATTGGCGGTGGGGGCATTTAGGAGAGAAGATATTTATAATGTCATTTTTATTCTCACGCATTGCTTTGATAATATACTATTTTGGAAATATACTATTGTAAATGTTAAATATTATTGTAAAAAGTTACCGATAACCTAGTAGTGTTTATCCCTATATCGAGCAATGTAAATGAGAAAAGAATGACATTATAAATCCCCCTTTTAAGTGCTGATGGGTAAAATAAAAAATACATTTATTTTAGTTAAATTGAAAATGTATATTAATAAATATGTATAAATAAAAAAAATAAAAGTAACAAAAACGACAATAAAACTTATAGGTATACCTACTTTA